GGTGCACTGACCAACCACACGCCAGCTCAACCTGGGCCAGGGCACACGCGGCCTCCGTGGACAGACCTCCTTCGAGGCTGGCCGGGGGGAGGTGCCCGAGGAGGAGCGCAGTGGGCGCGTCTGGGCACAGGCACTGGCGGGACAAGTGACCCGCCAGTCACTACAGGGCACCCGACCCTGGGCAGCCTCAGCTCCGACGGAGGACGCCCGGGGCAGGTGGGGCCCGGCGCCCAGGCCGCCTGGAGGACACCCCAGAGGTCTGGATCCTGGGAGCCAGGGCGGGAACCCCGCTCCCGCAGTCCTGTCCTCAGTGCTGGGTGTGGGCTCGAGGCTGGTTGCTCGGCGGCCGAGACACCCCTGGAGCTGCCCAGACGGAGTCCTCTGGGGGCGTCGGGCAGCCCTAACCGTGGTGCACAGGTGCCAGGGACGGGGCCGTGTGTCAGGCGTGGGCACCAGAACGCGCAGGACAGCGAGCGTGGGGGCGAGACTGAGAAACTCCTTCGCTAGTAAACGTTTAAGTTGTGCCCCACTTTCCTGACTGCTGCAGAAACGTGGGCTCCCGGCGACTCGCGGAGCCTCCTCGCTCTCCAGCCGCTGGCTCCGAGAGCTGCACGGGCACAAGAAACCTCGGGCACGCGCTCCGCAAACACCACTGCGCCTTCCCGTCAGTCTCCTCTTACAAGGAGGGTCTTGGCAACCCTCCACCTACAGAGACATCGGTTCCGGTTAATGGAACAGCAAACTCTGGGTTCATTTATTCGGTGTTTCTAGCTCGATATCAGCCAGATTTCAGCCAGAGCAACTACCCTGCACTGGGCTCCCAGCACCAACTATGGGAGGGCTGGGCCGGCCCTGCTCAGCCTGGAGCCGCTTCCCGGCCCCTCCTCACCCGGCCTCCTCCCTCCTAAGCTGGCAGGTAGCCATGGCAACCGAGCAGCTGGGGCTCTGAGCTGGCACCTGCTCCAAGGGGAGCAGGGAGCCCAGTGCTCACAGGTGAGCAGGTGAACGGGGCTGGCAGACCCAGCTGGGAGTGGGCCATGACGGGCTCCAGGTCTGCGGGCCAGACCAGCGCCTGGCCAGCCGCCGCGTTGGCAATGGTGGGCATGCGCCCTCTCCTCTGACCTCTCCTGCCCGGAGGCGGGCCCGGCCCTGCCCGCAGACAGGAGGAGCCAGCCCAGCGGAGGCGCTGCCCCACCTGGTGACTGCAGTGACCTCCCTGTCCTTCTCCTCCGGGAAGGAGGCCAGCGCAGGGGCAGGCGTCAGAGCCGGAGGACAGCCCGCTCCGGTCAGGCCGGGCACGAGGCCCCGCGAGGCCCCCACCTGCCTGGCCGGGCCACGTGACAGGGCTCCTCCCAGTCAGTGACACGGAACGTGGGTCTCACTCCCATGGGGCTGGTGGGGGCTGATGAGAAGGTGCGTGTGAGCCAGGTCAGCAGAGCCTCTCCCCACAGCCTTGCAAGGAGTCTCACCCGAACTCACCCACCCGACCCCACCCCCACCATAGTCCACCCACCCCCCCATCACCCACCCCACCCCCACCATCACCCATCCCACCCCCACCCCTACCATCACCCACCCCACTTCCACCATCACCCACCCCACCCCACCCCTACCATCACCCACCCCACTTCCACCATCACCCACCCCACCCCACCCCTACCATCACCCACCCCACTCCACCATCACCCCCCACCCCCACCCTACCATCACCCACCCACTTCCACCATCACCCACCCCACCCCCACCCTACCATCACCCACCCACTCCACCATCACCCACCACCCCCACCCCTACCATCACCCACCCCACTTCCCATCCCCCATCCCACCCCCACCCCTACCATCACCCACCCCACTTCCACCATCACCCATCCCACCCCCACCCCTACCATCACCCACCCCACTCCCACCCCTACCATCACCCACCCCACTTCCACCATCACCCACCCCACCCCCACCCCTACCATCACCCACCCCACTTCTACCCCTACCATCACCCACCTCACTTCTACCCCTACCATCACCCACCCCACCCCCACCATCACCCACCCCACCCTCACCCCACCACCCTTCCACCCACCTATCCTCCACCCACCCATCATCTTCCATCATCCACTGACCCCCACCCATCTACCCACCCCCATCACTCTCCATCACCCCCACCCACATCATCCCCCACCCACCCTTTGTTCAAGAAGCAGTCACTGAGCCCAAACAGGGTCCTTGGCCTCTAGCCTGGGGACACAGCAGTGACAGGGCAAACCCTGCCTCCGGGGGCTCCCACTCTGGTGGACAGAGATACCACGAGATCATCAGCTAAACCGTCAGTCAGTCTGGCGCAGGGACCCCAGGCCCCACTCCGGCCAGCCGCCTGCTCAGCCGCAAGCAGAGGGCGTGGGACGGAGGGGCGTGGCCGCAGGACAGGCAGTGGGAACTCCGCCTTCAGGCCAGACCCTGGGCAGGGAGGGCCAGGCAGGAAAGGCCTGGCCTCTGGCAGGGCTGTAGTGAATGGACGGGGCACCGAGCAGAGCAGACAGGCCTGGGGACAGAGCTGTACAACCTGGTCGCACGCGGGCCCACGGGGTTGGGGGGGAGTAGGCAGCCCCTGGACATGACTTAACTGGGGGCACAGACACCACCTCGTGCCACAGCGACCCTGCGTCCCCCGCAGCTGGTGCCTCTGCGCAAACCAATGAGAGCTGCAGCCCCTCACTGCGGGCCTCCCTGTCTCCCCACACCTCCTGGTAGGGCTCTGGCGATGCTGCTAGTGGGGGGCACCCCCAGCGGCACCGACACCCCGACCCTCGGGGCCTGGCCCGCCTGGGGCCAGTGTGGGGGGTGCCCTCGGCCTCGGATGAGGGGCAGGGAGAGAGCACCAGGGACAGGCGGTGCCCCAGCCACCCCCCGACTGCAGGGCCCCCCAGACCCAGGCAGGCACAGGCCTCGGCCCAGCTGGGCAGGCCCTCCTGACCCACCCACCCGGGAGGGGCCAGGCAACTCCGGGCAAATGCCAGGGCTGCCATCGTGCGCAGTCGGGGTGATGGCAGGAGCCCATCAGGTGGCCTCGCCATCAGGAAGCTGGTAATGGCTTGAGCGCCTCTGGAATGTGTGTGCCCGGGGCGCGGCCACAGGGACTGAGCTGACCCCCAGGGCAGGCCCTGGCTCTGCCACGGCTGCCAACTGGGAACCCAGGGCGGCAGGCCAGACACAGAGCGAGTCCTATGGGCTCCCTGGACCCCATCTGTCCACCCGCAACCCTGGGGCCAGGACAGGCGTCCGCGCAGCTCAGCAGGGAGCGGCCTCAGTCCACTGGCCACAGGGTATGTCACCAGACACGCTGAGTCTCCAGCATAGGGGATCCAAGGCCCAGCGTACACGCACACTACACAGGCGCACACCCCACCACACGGCGCACACCACACGGCACACACAGGCGCACACACACACCACACGGCACACACAGGCGCACACACACACCACACGGCACACAGGCGCACACACACACCACACGGCACACACAGGCGCACACACACACCACACGGCACACAGGCGCACACACACACCACACGGCACACACAGGCGCACACACACACCACACAGGCGCACACAGGCGCACATACACACCACACGGCACACACAGGCGCACACACACACCACACGGCACACACAGGCACACACACACACCACACAGGCGCACACACACACCACACGGCACACACAGGCGCACACACACACCACACGGCACACACAGGCGCACACACACACCACACGGCACACACAGGCGCACACACACACCACACGGCACACACAGGCGCACACACACACCACACGGCACACACAGGCGCACACACACACCCCACGGCACACACAGGCACACACACACACCACACGGCACACACAGGCGCACACACACACCACACGGCACACACAGGCGCACACACACACCACACAGGCGCGCACACACACCACACGGCACACACAGGCGCACACACACACCACACGGCACACACAGGCGCACACACACACCACACAGGCGCGCACACACACCACACGGCACACACAGGCGCACACACACACCACACGGCACACACAGGCGCACACACACACCACACGGCACACACAGGCGCACACACACACCCCACGGCACACACAGGCACACACACACACCACACGGCACACACAGGCGCACACACACACCACACGGCACACACAGGCGCACACACACACCACACAGGCGCACACACACACCACACGGCACACACAGGCGCACACACACACCACACGGCACACACAGGCGCACACACACACCACACGGCACACACAGGCGCACACACACACCACACAGGCGCACACACACACCACACGGCACACACAGGCCCACACACACACCACACGGCACACACAGGCGCACACACACACCACACGGCACACACAGGCGCACACACACACCACACAGGCGCGCACACACACACCACACGGCACACACAGGCGCACACACACAGGCGCACACCACACGGCGCACACCCCACCACACACACACACACACACACACACACACACACACACAGGCGCACACCACACCCCACCACACGGGCCTCACCTCGAGCCGCAGGACGGCCTCCTCGCGCAGCCGCATGGCCTCCAGGTCCTGCTCCGTGAGCTCCGGAAGCAGCATCTGTGCCGGGCCCTGTCGCTCGCTGTCGCCCCCGTTGAAGCTCTCCTCCTGCTCAGCCAGTGCGGCCGGAGGGGCCCGGGGACTCTGTGATGATGACAGACTGTTACCAGGCCCAGGCCCCTCCAGCAGCAGCGGCTCCTCCGTGAGGCCAAGCCTTGGCTCACCCACCGGGGGCCTCTGGGAGCCTGTGCTCCCACCCCATCCCCCACCCCCTATCCCCCACACCCAGCCCCCAGCCCCTACCCCCTACCCCCCACCCCCTTCCCCCACCCCTTATCCCCTACCCCACCCCCTATCTCCCACCCCACCCCCACCCGGGCGGGGCAGTGGGCCTGGGCCTCCACCCTGTGCTGGGGGTTCATCCCCGCAGAGCCACTGGGCATAGGGCTGCTGTGAGTGGGGGGCAGGGGGCAGAAACAGCAGACATGGGCCCCGCCTGCAGCCGTGCCCGCGCCTCTGGCCACCCCAAACCTGGCTGCAGGGGGCACATGGCAGTACCACCCCGGCCTCAGCCAGGGCCACGCAGAGGCCTCCCAGAGCCGCCCATGGCCCTGCCTCCTGGTGAGGACTCCAGGGGGTCGGAGGACCACTCAGCGGGGGGCCTGCAGGTCATAAGCAGGGTCCCGTGGATGGCAGCTACGGCCATGCTGGTCCCCACCCCCAGCCCCGCCCAGGAACATGGTCCAGTCTCAAGTTCTTCCCGCACATTCGGGACGGGAAGGCTGCCTGGCCGGGCCGGGGGACAGCGCCATGGACGGCGAGAGCCCAGCGCCCAGACATGCTTGCTGGGCACAGAAACCAGGAAGTCCACACAAGAGCTGCAGCACCGAAGTGACAAAGCCTGCAGGGGGGTGGGGGGAGGGGAACGGCCCAGGGCCCTGGGCCAGGAGGGCAGGTGTGAAGGCAGCCTTCTCCCTCACGGCTCCTGCTCCGGCCGGCCCGCAGGTGGCTGCACCACTCTCAGTCACAGGGGGCCAGCTGGTGGGCAGGTGGGGCGGTAGGGTCCGCTAACCCTCCTCCCCGAGGCCTTCAGACAATAAACTCAGGGCAGATGGGATGAAGTGAAAGCTCTAAAGCATCTGCTGACAAGCCTCCTGACCAAAGCAGCACTGACCACTGCCCTCCGGGAGGGGCTGCCCCACAGGCCTGCCCAGGCCTCCCTCCCTGCGGCTCGGCCCCTCGGGAAGCTGCAGCCTCTGGCCCCCCGGGAGGACCGGGCAGGGTCCCCATCCTCACCTGCAGAGACAGGGGCCCTCGCCCGGGGCAAGGTCGCCAGCTACTGTGCAGACGTGTGGGCTGGGGACCCGCGTACTGGCCCATCCACAGGTACCGCTGCCCTCCCCGCAGCTCAGGACAAGAAACAGGCCCGGGAGACGGCTCAGGACAGGAGACGGCCAGGAGGGAGGGCTCAGGACAGGAGATGGGCCGGGGGGAGGGCTCAGGACAGGAGACGGCCAGGGGGGAGTGCTTAGCGAGACCCCGCAGCCCTTCCCTTTCCTGAAGAGACCAGAAAGCGCCCTTATTCTCCTCACAAAGGCCCAATTTGGGTCTCAGCTCCAGCGGATCGGGAGCTGCTGCCTCTGCTCAGGGCGGGCGGAGGGCCCCTGTGATGCGTTTCCATTTCCAGGCGTCAACAAAGGCGGCTTTCTCCTCCCTCCAGGGCCAAGGGTGCGGGTCCCCTTTTGACGCAGGAGCACAGCCCGTGGGACGGCTGGAGGGTCCTTTCCCGTGAGAAAGACGAAACCCTCAGGGTCCTTCCAGGCGGCCAGAGGACACCCCCCCCCCCCAGGGTCAGGGAGGAGCACAGGGCCTCGGGGCTCTGGGAAGGTCACCCCTCCAGTGCTCCTGCCTGGACCACCAGCCGGGACAGGGCCCATGGGGGGCGTACCAGCGTGGGGCAGGGTGGTCACCTCGCTGTGCCAGCTGACGTGATCCCTGAAAATCATCTCATCTTTCCTCATTTCTCAGAAGCACCACTGACTATTCTCTTCTTTAAAAAGAATTTTACAGAAACGCAACTGGGTGTCATGTTGCGGAGCGTGGCACGGCTTCCGTGGGGGGGGCACTGGGGAGGAGCTGCGGTCACGGGAAGACACGGCACGAGGTGCACAGGCGTCCCAGTGCTCCCGGGCAACCACTTCCTCTCCCATCCACACGGTGTGAGGCTTCAAGCGCCCAGCTTCGTCCACGAGGTACTGCCCATATGTTATTTTGGGGGTGCAAGGAGGTATGGGGGTCCACTTTGCCCTCTTCCAAGACACAGGCTGAGAGCACGTGCCCCTGCCATGTGCCGGCCTAAGGCTTTGCCCTTTTTGGCTCTTGAATGGAGCTGCCTTGTTCTTGATTTGTGAGACCTTCATATATTACCAGAGGCCAGGTGCATGGAATTCGTGCACGGGTAGGGTCCCTCGGCCTGCCGGTGATCAGGGCCGATGAAGGCCTTCCTTCTGGCTGCCGGCCAGGGTCTTCCTTCATTCCACACCGCCCCCTGGTGGTCAGCACATGCCACAGCGAGCGACTGAACTCCCGGTCTCCTGGCCGAACTCCCCAGGGGACATCCGGCATGTTAGCCTTTTATCTGCATAGGCGGCTGCAGTCCTTTTCAGGTACGAGTCGGGCAAACACCTCCGCCTACTCTACGGGCTGCCTCTTCACTCTCCTAAGGGTGTGTTGGCTTTAACAAAGTCAAGGTCACCAGCCGTCTTCCTGTGGCTGGGGCTTCATCGGCGGAAAGATGGGCGAGCACCTTCCCTCAGGCTCGGAGGGTCTTCCCACTGCTCCTCGAGAATCAGATGTAAGTCTCACTGCTCCTCTTCGAATAACGTGACTTCTTTCTGAGGCTTTAATCGGCTTTTACGGTTTTATTTTTGCCTTTCTTGTTCAAAACTTTATGACGCTGTGACAGGACACATTTATCCTACTCATCGTGGAGCTGAAGCGTTTGGACACTTCTGGAACATTCTCAACCATCACCCCTTCCGCCGCTGCTCCTTTGCCGCGCCCTCGCCCCCACCCTCGCTCATCTAGGCCTCGTCACACTCTTTTCCAGGTTGTCCTCAGCTTCTACGCATGGGAGGGTTGGGCTGATACACGGCCGTGAGTGGAACTGCCAGGAACTGCCCCGGACCAGGCCCAGCCACAGACCCAAGGTCCAATACCAACTTTGTTTTAGGTGTTTTTATTGATTTCAGAGAGAGGAAGGCAGAGGGAGAGAATCATGGACCGGCTGCCTCCTGCACACCCCACACTGGGGATCAAGCCCACAACCCGGGCACGTGCCCTGGTCAGGCCTCGTACTGTGACCTCCTGTTCATAGGCCGATGAACAACCACTGAGCCACGCCAGCCGGTTGTCAAATGCCAACTTTTTAAAAGGTCATTTGTCCAGGCCGACCCCTGGGACCAAGGCCCTTCCCTCAGCCCCTCCTGCTCTTCCCTGCCACCAGCCACACCCTGTGTGGTCCCCTCCGTCACGGCCACGGCGATCCCCGGCACCCACCTGCTGCCGGCCACCCGTCTGCGCCGTGGGAAGCAGAGCTCGGGACTTCTCCGCAATTGTCTGTTGGAAGCAGCGCGGGGGGGGGGGGGGGGGGCGGACGACAAGGGAAGAACAGAAAAGGCAGGCAGAGAGGAGAGACAATCAGACAGACAGGCAGCACCGGGTGATGCCTGACAGCAGAGCACGGCCACCCCCGGGAGAGTGCAGCCCTCCAGGGTCACAGGAAAACTGGGCACGTGGCCGCCCTGCCGAGGACGAGGACCCGTGGGACAGCCGCACCCAGGCACCGGACTCCCTGGCCTAGTTCCCCACCATCACAAGGGGCGACACCTGGCTCCCCACCTCCTGGGAGGCCGTCATGCGGACATCTCCCGGGCAGCACCAGAGGGCCCCATCCTTCTCTGCACGCGGCCTGTGGTCACCCCACAAGGATGGCCCTTCCTCTGCTGTGGGGGCGGGGGCCGCACCAGCCCAACCCAGGAGAGACGGCCAGTGTGGGTGCCCGAGGGAGCGAGGCCCCCACCCGGCCAGCACCAGCGCCACCAGTGCCCTCACCATCTGCACCGCTCCGTAGCGCTGAATGGCGTCCGAGAGCTGAGTTTTCAGGCGGTCCAGCTGAAGCCGCTCCTGCTGCAGAGAGAGAGAGAGAGAGAGAGAGAGAGAGAGAGAGAGAGAGAGAGAGAGAGAGAGAGACTCACCCCATCACCTCACACCCAGGCACACCTCGGCTCCAGGCACAGCCAGTATCACCATGGACACTCACCACCCATCACCGTGGACACCCTCACACCCAGCCTGGTCCCAAGTGCAGCTGAGCTCTTGGCATTGGCACTATGTGCCCCAGGCCTGAGCGCCGTGCACGCAGACCTGCCCCACACCGCCTGGCCCTCCCTCGCTCCCACCCCAGGACGCCTCCGCCCGCCTGCCGGTCCCCTCGCGGCCTCCGGACATACCCGGGAGCAGCCCCGCAGCAGCTCCGCCAGCCGCTTCACCACACTGGTGCTGGTGGCGATGGTGCGGTTGGTCTCCTGCTGCGCCAGGTGCCTGAGGTGGGCAGGGGTGGAGGTGGGCGCGGGACCCCACAGGGAGACAGAGGGAGACAGGGAGGAGCGGAAGGAGGGCAGGAGACAGGAGGGCAGGAGACATGGAGAGGGGAGGGGACCAGCAGGAAGCAAGAGGCCAAAAACGACGAGGAAACAGGAGGAATGGCCAAGGGTCAGGGGAGGGCGGAGAGCGCCAGCAGGCCCACAGGGACAGGCAGGTGGGAACAGGGAGCAGAGAGCAGAGGGAAAGGAGAGGAGGACACGGTCACTGCAGGTCGGGGAGCCTCGCCAGGACCCTCGGGCCCACTGGGTCAGCGCCTGCACCCTCACCCCCACCCCCTCCCCAAGGGGGCCCAGTCTCCAGCCCTCCCTGGGGAAAGGCCCGGGGCGGGAGCCTCAGAGGAATGGGGCGGGGCTGGCCCTGCAGGTCTGAGGTGCCCCCACCAGGAGACGGGACGCAGGGCCAGGCCCCTCCCGGCCGAGCCACACAGCATCCGAGTCTGTGGCCTGGAAGGACCAGGGAGGGCAGCCCTCGCCTGCTTGCAGCTGACCCTGCCCCTCGGACTGAGTAACACCCAAGGCAGAGCCAGCCTCAGGCCTCCTGCGGACACGCACGGCGAGGGCAGGGCCCCGGCCCGGCTTTGGCCCCGGCAAATACGGGGACACTCCTGACCCGCAAGCTACAGCCGGTGGCCCTGCTCCCTGCAGGACCCCACATGCAGCACACGGCTGACAAGGTGCCCCAACACCAAGTCCCAGAGCACGTGAGCGGGGCTCAGAGAGGAAGCGGGTGTTTGCCATGAGGGGCGGGTGGTGCTCTGCAACTCTCCGCAGGCTCTGAGGCCCCAGGCGAGCTCCGCCTCCTGGCCTCGCTTTCCCCGAGTTAAAGGCAGGGCTGGGCTGGGTCAGCTGGAAGGGCCCTCGGAGCCGGCCGGTGGGCGAGTCTGGGCCCCAGAGGCAGCCCTGCGAAGGAGCGCCAGGTCGGTGAGTCGGACCGGGCAGCCAGGTGATCAGGGCTGATTCCGGGAGCCCCGCCCTCCTGCCCCCAGGTCGGCGTGCAGTCCCTGCTCAGGGCGCTGCCCTCTGAGCCTGGAGCCTGGAGACGGGAGACAGGGCCGCCTCTGCTCAGCTCTGTGGCCACTACCTGCAGCTGCTGAGCGAACGGACGCCTGGCCCGCGGCTGCACCCCCAGGGGCGCTCAGTGTGCGGGCCCCTGGAGCTCAGGTCTGTGGGAGACACGTGGCAGCAGGGGGTGGGGCACAAACTGTGCATGTGGGCACACGGCTGGCCACGCGAGAGCACACCTGTGTGCGGGGGTGTCCGTGTGGGGTCACGTGCACCCTCAGGTGAGGGGCATGCACGTGGCTGTGGCTGCCAGTGGGCACAGGCGCACTCACAGGCTGTCCCGCAGCTCCTGGGTGTCCCTCGGTGTCCCCAGGGACCGGAGGCTCTGCTCCAAGGAGGTCGCTGCAGAGAAGGGGACCGGGGTAAGGACAGAGGTCCCCCCACCAGGGATGCCCCACCCCCAAAGAGGCAGCGGAGGCCAAGGACATGGAGCCAGGACTGGGAGACCGTCCGTGTGACCGAGCACCTGCCAGGACACCAGGCTGGGCGGGGCCTCCCGGCCGGCCCAGCACAAGCCCAGCTCGCTGCTCGGTCATGCCTCTGGCAGGGGCCCCGCCATGAGTCTGGGGAGGGGCTCCTCCCGCTCCCCGCTTTCCTCCTCTGCCTGCGGCGCTCCCGGTCAGAGGCAAACACCCCTCACGCACGTGTCCCAGGTCTGCAGGCGCCTTGGGGACGTGACTCTCACCCCAACCCCCAGCCCGGGTGACCAGGGGGCTGGCCTGAGGGCGGCTCTGAGGCGCTGCTTCCCAGGACTCGTCCAGGTCACACAGGCCTGCAGGGCGAGGGGCACCTGCTGCAGGAGCCGTGCACGTGTGGAGCACCTGGGGGGGGGGGGGGGGCGGGGACACGGGCCGCTGACCCGCCTCTGCTCCATCCCGAGACCCTGCCTGGGCTGCAGGGCGGTCCAGTCGGGAGGGGCCATGGGCACAGCCCCCCCCCCACCCCCGTGTCCCCTCAGCCCCGAATGGCAGGCTGGGGCCGGGTGGGCGGGCAGGCACTCACCGCTGGTGCTGATGCAGGAGACACTGGCCGCCGCCTCCTGGAACAGCCCCTGCAGGTCCCTCGGGTCCAGCTGGGTGGCTGCGAGGAGACGGGGTTGGGGGGTTGGGGGGGCCACGTTTACCGCGTACCCGCGGGACCACGGAGCGTGAGCAGTTCTGGAGCTGGAGGCCCAGGCCCCCTTCCCTGCCAGCCCCTGGGGTGGGGGAGCCGGAGACGGAGCCCCCTGCCCGTGCAGCGCAAGCGCAGGGAGAGAAGCAGGTGGCCCCCGGGAAGGCCATGCCTCGGGGACCCTCCACCCAGCAACCCCACCGCCGGGCACACGCGAGAGGAATGAGAGCCCAGGTCCCCACGGAACCTGCACACGCGTGTTCCCCCGTCCCAAGCGGAGCACCCTGTGCCTCAGTGGCGACGAGGTGAGGTCTGCCCGCCCTCGGCCCCCGAGCCCACGGCCTCAGCAGCGCCTGGGAGACCCCGCGGCCTCTGTGACCGCCCTCACGCGTGGCAGCCGCCGGGCGCTCATATCACCACAAGCACAGAGCAGGACACACACACCTCACCCCGCCCCTGACCTCATACACACACACGCACGCACGCACTGGGAGCCACACACAGAGCAAAACCAGCCACAGAACAAAGCAAACCACATGGTTCGGTGAAGCGGGTCTGAGGGCAGGGGCCTGAGTGGGCGCCGTGGAGGGACAGACGCAGCCAGACGGGAAGCAAGGGCGGGCTCGGCCCCACACCCGCAGCCCCGCCCCAGCCGGGCACCCGGTCCCAGGCAGTGGGACAGAACCCGGCGGAGGCCTGCCCCCTGCTGCCCCCTCCCCCCCGCGGCCCCGCTGTCGTTACCGAGCGGCTGATAGCCTTGTCGTGAGGGTCCCCCGAAAGGGCCCCGGCTCCCCAGCCCGCTGCTGCCGGTGATGGATCCGTAGGACATCTTCCCGGAGGGCAGGGCCGCCTCCCTCGGGGCTGGAGGAAACACAGGCGGGGGGGGGGGGGGGGGGGGGGGTGTTAGTTCTCAGGGTGCCCACTGCCTGCCACCCAGCCCACGCCGCTGTGTCCCCACCCCGGCCGGCCCGTGCCCACAACTCAGCTCCCCTCCTGCCCAAGGGCTGGTGGAGACACTGGAACAGCCCCCACGGGACCTCTCAGACCACGCGCCCCACCCCGGCCCCGCTCCCTGCTCTCCCCTGAGCAAGCCGCCCGCCTGGCTCCCGAGACGGCTGGGACCCTCCACAGGCGCCGGTCCCCATGGCGCCTCCTGCCTCGGGCAAAGGGGAGACGGGGACATGTCCCAGGAGACAAGCAGGAAACAGCAGTGAAACCAGACCAGCCAGGCGCTCCCACACCCCAGCCCGGGTCACCGAGCTAAACAGGACCAGGGAGCGGCGGCCGGGGCGCCACGGCCTGGCGAGACTCGAGGACCCCGGACGGGGACCTGCCGAGCAGGCAGCTCGCACAGGGACGGGCCCGCGGCAGCCGGGCCAGCGGCTCAGCACCAGAGGCAGGGACAGCCCTCAGCTGGGGCCCAGCCAGGGAAGCGGAGCCGAGGCTGCTGAGCAGGAGGCACTGAAGGCGGGCGGAGCGCCAGCCAGGGGGCTGCGGGCAGGACAGGGCAGGGCGACAGAAGGTTCCAGAGAGGCCTCCCAAGGAGCGAGGAAGTGGAGGTAGGAGAGCTATGATGTAGGAGGAGGGTTAGGGTTACGTTGCTGAAAAGCACAGACAACATGACGAACTCCAGGGACACACGCTAGTGGGCGCCGTGGAGGGACAGACCTGTGATTAGTTCCACACTGAGGCCCGAGTGTGCGGGGCTGTGAGCGAGGGACGCCACCCGACACTGCTGGGGTGCCCGTGGGCGTGGGCACGCACCCGTGTGCATGTGAGGTGTGCGTGTGCGCGAGGTGTCCGCATGTGAGGTATAGCACGTGTATATGTGTGAGGTGTGTGCGTGTGAGGTTTGCGTGTGTGAGGGGTCTGCGTGTAAGGTATGTGCATGTGTATACATGTGAGGTGTGTGCGAGGTATGTGTGTGTGAAGGGGGTGTGTGCAAATGAGGTATGTGTGGGTGAGGTATGTGCATGCATGCATGTGAGGTGGGGGGTGAGGAGCGTGTGTTTGTGTGTGCAGGTAAGGTGTGGGGGGGGGGTGAGGTGTGTGTGTGTGTTTGTGTGTGTGCAGGTGAGGTGTGTGGACAGGTTCAAGCCTGGGACTGATGAGAGGGCACAGTCCTCTCATGGCAAAGCCACGTGCAAGTCCCAGCACAATGACAGCCAAAGGCTATGGTAGTGAGCTTGACCTTCTGGTCCGAACACGTAGCCCCACATGCCTGAGTGGTGTGGGCTTGATCGAGTTCAGGTGCATGTGGTTGAGTAAGCTCGAAATCCCCGAGAATGTGGTAACCATCTTGACCACGCCCTCGCTTTGCCTCGTGGCATCTGCTATAAAATAAGGACACGGCGTGTGGGCGCTGGCGCTGTCTCTCCATCCGAGGGGGCAGCGTCCCACCCAGACCCAGCGCATTCTCTTGTCCGTCTTTTCTAATCCTTCACCGCACCCCCCCTCGGGCTCACCCCTGGCGGTGCTGGCGCGGCACACGTGCGGGCATAACCAGCAGTGGTGCTGGGACTGCGGAGCTGGGACGGTTCCCGGAGGCGGCGGGGCGGGACCAGGAGTGCGGACTCCAGGTTGGGGAGGCGAAAGGCAGAACCCACCCCCTCACCACAGCGTGTGCGTGTGGCTTTAAACTACTCAAGCTGCTTTGTGATCAATGAGTGAAACCATCACCTGGGAAGACCAGTCTGGAAGCAGGTGGCCCTGCGGGCATCTCCCCAGCAGACAAGACCCTGGGGGGGACACAGCGCCACCCTCGGCTCTCTGGAGGGCACCCTGGAGACAGACCCCAGGCAGGCGCAGGGCCACAGGGTCGGGCCGTTCCACAGGCGCCCCCGCACACCCCGTGCACCAGCACTGCATGCAACGTGGCCAGCTGGACACACAGGCCTCGGACATGAGCTGGAGGGACCTGGGGTGCAGCGGGAGCCCAGACTGGGTGGGGGGCTCCGGCAGCTCCCGGAGGGATCGCAGGATCTGAGCAGGGGCAGGAAGGAGGTGTCCCGCGGGTCTGACGGGAGGGACAGCAGGGGCCAAGGAGAGGCAGGGCCAGCTGGAGGGCGTGACGGAGGCCAGTGGGCAGCACTTGGGACCTGCCCAGCCACGGGCCCACAATGCAACTGGCCACAGCGGGGCAAAGGAAGGCAATGAGCAGCCTCGGGCCCTGAGGGGGGAGCTCAGGGGGACCCCAGCCCACCACCCGACTTGCAACCTCACTGTGCTGCCTGCACCGTGTGGGCGGCCCGTGTCTGCTCGGCACACAGGGTCCCAAGCTGCCGCGGCCGGAGGGGGCCAGAGGGAAGAGGAACCGCCTGGGAGACCACCAGGGGCCATGGGCCAACCAGCCCCAGCCCCCCACGCCGTGCCTGGGCCTCGCCCTCTGCTTCCAGCTGCCCCCCTCGCCCACTGCAGCCAGGGCATGCCCTGGCCCCTCAACCAGCTTCCCCAGTGGCAGGCGAGGGCAGCTGCAGCGGCCGGGCGGGGGGAGGGGCCGCGAGCAAAGGCGGCGGGAGCCTCGCAGAGCCAGGCCAGTCTGGGTGCCAGGAGCCGCCCTGGCCGCCCACACTCCGGACACAGTCACAGGCACAATGTCGCTCCCAGGAAACCTCCTACTGCGCGGCTTCCGTGGCCGCCCCGGGCTGCCCGCCTCCTCCGGCCTCGTGCCCCCGGCTGGCGCCGGCTCTCCCCTGGCACCATCCCCACAGCCCGGAGGGAGCCGCCGTCCCTGGGCTGCCAGACCCTGAGCACAGGGCGGCAGGGGCGCGAGGGGCCCTGGGCCAGCACACCGCCTCCCCGCACAGGGCCCCTGCCTCGAGGGGCCCCGGACAGGGCTCCAGGCTGCACCCCGAGGAGCTGGCTCCTGGGCCAGGGCCGGATGGGACAGGGCCTGTGGGTCAGCCCTCCTGTCCTTCAGGGACCAGGATGGTGACCGGCTGCTTGTCCCATGCCCACAGCCCGGCTGGGCGCTGTGCTCACTCGCGTCCCCTCCAGGTCACAGGCGACAGGCGAGGCCTGGACACCTGGGTCAGGGTGGCCCCATGAGGGCGTCGGCCTCCGCCCCCGTGACAGACCAGGCTGGCGGCCCCTGCAGCCCGGCCGCCCACGGGACAGGGCAGACCAGCCCCCCGTGCAGACCACTGCTCGCCGGACCGGCCGCCCTCGGGACAGGGACAGACCAGCCCCCCGTGCAGACCACTGCTCGCCGGGCCGGCCGCCCACGGGACAGGGCAGACCAGCCCCCCGTGCGGACCACTGCTCGCCGGGCCGGCCGCCCACGGGACAGGGCAGACCAGCCCCCCGTGCAGACCACTGCTCGCCGGGCCGGCCGCCCACGGGACAGGGCAGACCAGCCCCCCGTGCGGACCACTGCTCGCCGGGCCGGCCCTTGGGGAAACCTGTTTTCTGGTTTTAGAGGAAGTGACCCCAAGATGACGACGCTCCTGCCACGGGGGGGGAGGGGCGGGGGGCATTCCCTCACCCAGCTCAAAGCCCAACTTTTAGGAGGAGGCTCAGAAAGGGACACCGACGTCCCCAAGTCAGCAGACAGGACCCTGCCCCTGGCTGCCGCCCTCCTCCCTGCCGCCCTCCCCCACGCTCCCCCACACCAGGCACCCCGGTCTCAGGTCCGCCTCGCACTGGTCCTCCCCTGGACCCGGAGCCACAGAGAAGGGACCACATGCTCCTTACTCCATACAGTTGTCCCCACCCCTCCCCGCAAGCCAGCACCCTTCCCCGCCCCCTCCCCCCTCCCCAGAAGCACCCTCAGTGGAGCGGCCGGGGGGGGGGGGGTGGGGGGGGGCATGTGTGTGACTCAGTTACGTCACACACAGACGGGGCAGTGACCACGCGCGACGCCAGGCACACCCATCACCAGCTGCGTGGGGTGGCTGTGCTGCCTCACCCTGGGTCCCCTCAGACGCTGCGACGCCCCCAGCAGGGAACACCCAGCACTCAGATCCAGTGACACACGAGCCTGCTCCACGCCTCCGAGCCACGGCTGCTCCCAGGATGGGGTCAGGGAACCAGAGGGGAGCCTAGAACATTCTGTCCCGTGAAAGAGGACGGGCGCGCACGGGGGACGCGGGAGAGGCCACCCCGGCTGACTGGGCAATGGGAGCAGGATCACCCCCAGGGCAGGGAGGGAAGAGCCATCCCCCCCCCCCCCGCCCACACACACAGGAGCACCGCAGTCCCAGCGTCACCGGTGAGTAATGTGGGCGCGGGGGCGGCCCCCCCCAGCAGACTGGCCTCGGGGAGGAGGACGGAGCCGCGACCCTCACACAGCAGCTGACGCAGGCGGAGCCGCGGTGCCAGGGGAGTGGGCGCCGCTGAGTAACAGGACAGTCACAGCCTCCAGCTCCGTCCCCAGGGGCTTGTCAATGACACACGGAAACAGTCACTGCAGAGGAGACTTGGCAGCCGCCACCTTAAGCCACGTCATCGGCGACGAACAAGCCACCGTCAAGGCCGCCTGGCGCCAGGCACCAGGCCACGGACACAGGTCTGCGACCCTCCCACCAATCTCGCCAGTCCTCCCGCCAAACACGCGTGGGAGAAGCTCAGACACCAGTGAGGGTCTCCTGAAGGCACCGCATCGGGAAGCAAAGGCCGCGGAGCCGTCCCCACAGACGCGGGCCCAGATGGCAGGCCTCGGCCCGGCCGGCGTGGCTCAGTGGCCGAGTGTCGGCCTACGAACCAGATCACAGCTCGATCCCCAGGGTGGGGCGTGCAGGAGGCAGCTATCTCTCATCACTGACGTTTGTCTCTCTCTTCCTCTGAAATCAATAAAATGTATCTTTTTAAAAAGGTATCAAATTCACCCAGTGAAGGAGAGGCGCGTGTCCCGGTGGGAAGCT